TAAGTATAACATCAGCAAGGGATCTAGTGCCACTATACTATCGCAAATGGCGCAAGTTGAAGGCTCAATCGTCAAATGGGACGAAGCAGAAATTATTAAATCGGTACATTCACCGACATTGGCGAATTGCGCAGAAAAAATTGAAATATATAAAAGCAAATTGCATGATTCATGCATCAATTCTAGAGATTCTGAAGGGTTGCCTTCGGCCTGGAAATACTTTATCAAACGATTGGACAAATCTTAATTTATTGCGGCGATTTTAATATTTTTTCGCATAAAGTGCATTTCACTGAATTTCTATATAACGTTTTAATATTTAGTTAACCTATGCTTATTTTTTCGTATACATTTTTTGTTATTTGTAACAATAATTTTTATTTATTTTATTAGTCTGTATACATTTATATATATATTTCGCTCGTTATTTTATTTTATTTGTATTTAAATTTTTGTTCTATTTTATTTATATTCGAATGTTCTTAGCCTGACGATGGCCAACTGATTTGGCTGAAAACGTTAGCTTTACATTAAATTTTTTTCTCAGCAAATTAAGGTGTTTTGTTTTTTGATTTACATAATAGTGTAGTAAAACACTATTATGATTACAGTACAAATTTGTTCCAGAAATCATTTACAAAAGAAAAAATGCTCTATTAGATGAATAGTTTTGTAAAGAATATAATTGAGTGTTTATATGTTGTTGAACATTAAGGCATACAACAATTATTCTTTGTTTATCCCACCTTTACTGATTAAAGAATTTGTCATTACTTTTGTTGCTGAATTTCCTGAATATACAGAAAAATAATAGACTATAAATTCACAAGAGTTTGCTATTTTAAAAAGTCCAGATTTTCAAGTTTGGATTTTGAGACTTTTACTATGTTTAAAAATCGATAATATTGCAAGTTAGTATTTTGCAGAATGAATATATGTATGTTTTTAGTATTGATAAGATAAAAATATTTCAACAAATGATAATTTTGAGAAAATTCTGAAAAACAAATTTTTCTAGTATGAAAACTTCTAATTTTTTTTAAAGAAAGCTCACATGTTGTGTTGTTTTCTTGCTGATTATATTAAAAATATTATTATGAGATAATGTTGAGTAGAGAAACTGCAGATTTATCAGATATTTTTGTACTACTATCTTATCAACACACTAGTTTATTAGTATAACATTATGCTGGAAATAACTAGCCATTAGTATATTGTTAAATCATGGTTTGATTCATTATGGCTAAGTTTGATTTTGTATATATAGATAATCATATCAACTCTGTAAAGCATTTCATAATTTATATTTACTCTTTAACACAAAAGTAATGCAAATGCTTGAGATTATTAACCCAATAAACAATTTACTATCCTTTTAAAATATATGGAACAAGTACAATGGAAACAAACCATAAGTTAAAAGATAAAAACAAACACAAACAGATGTACTGTTTGTGTTTGTGTTTATACAATACACAACCAATATAAAAATGATTGTTACAAATAAAGTATAATACAATAAAATATATTTGACAAATAAAAGATATATACAATTAAATACAAAGGATAAAATGTAAATAATGGTATCTAAATGTAGCAATTAAAGAAACATTGTAAAAATAAAGGAAAATAATTATAATGGAAAAACATATAGTAGTTTTTTATACTGGGATTTAAAATGAATAAAGTCTTTAAATCAGTGTTTCCCAACATGGGGCCCACGCCTCACAGGGGGGCAATTGGATTGTTAAGGGGGACAATTCGAAAATGGACTCGTCCAGAGTTTAAGTTAACCGTATAGTCGCTGTATATGTTAGGGGGGCATAAGAATTTTAGAAAGGCTTTAGGTGGGGCATAGCACAAAAAAGGTTGGGAAACATTGCTTTAAATAAATGTTGCTTAACAGCTAAAATCATATATAAAAGAAATAACAAACTTTTCACAGCTATTTTCTCTGCCAACGTAATTTTTTTATTTAACTCTACCCACATTGTTTAAACTCAATTCAAACAAACAAACAAATCTTAATTTTTCTGTTGACTATTTCATTAATTAGAACACAATTTTCACTCAAAACATTTAGCCCACAAAATTATACAGTATCTAGCCTAATCTTTTCCTTCTGTGTCCAGTTCCCAACTCCTCAAAATTTTTCCTTCTCTCTTCTTCTCCACCTGCATCATCCTTACTTTCCCATATCCATTTTCTCTTCTCCCTGTTGTTTGTCATCTCTTCATATTTTCTAAACTACTACTCTCATTCTCTCTCTATTTTTTATATTCATTTTTTAACAAAACTATTAAAATTTCAAATCAAATCTTAGGACTAATGACAGTTTATAAAACAATGAACAAATAACATTCATTACGACGAGAGCGGGACGAGACAATGGTTAAAAGAAAAAGGTGCAAAAATGATAGAAGACAAGTCCAGACAGGACTTTTTCTTCTTTTTTTTAAGATGAAGAGTTTCAGAAATGATTCAAGTTTAATGTTTAGCGTTATATGTCACCATTTGTAATGTCTAGTGACATAATTAAACATTAGTATTGTGTCAGACTAAGTAGTACAAGTAAAGTTAATTAGGCTTAAGTAGGAGAAGACGAAGAAAAAATTCCTACATATATGACACAATAAAAAATAAATCTCATGTTAAACTAAGAAATTGATTAAAACAGGTAGGATGTGTTTTGAGTGATTCTTGAAGGAACTCAAATGAAAATGTCAACATAAAAAAATTTACATTTTTAAATTGATACACTTTGATATATTCTGTGTATTTAATATTGTTATTATAAAAAATTCTATGTAAAGCTTTATTTTTTACATTTAAATAGTTCCTTTTCACATATTCTGGTTATTCTGTAAATGCCTGATGATAATATTTTATAAATATTAAAAATATTTGTAATTATACTTTTAACTTGTTCTTTTAACTGTTTTACTTTAATTTAAATTTTTCTAATGCCAAATATATTTATTTTTTTATCTTTGACTTAAATTATTCTAAAATTTTTATTTTTATTTAATAATTTTTTATGGATGAATTTCTAAGGAATCAAATTCAAATATAATTAAATATATTATAAGTATAATGTNTATATATATTTTATATTTTTCAGATATCTTTAGGATGCAATGCTTCATGGAATGATCCAATAATACCTGTCAAATTAGAATTTTCAATTGATTTTGGACAAACATGGCATTATGTTACTCCTCAGTTTTTACCATCTGATCCTGGATTTTCAGGAGTTGCACAGTTTCCATCAATATATCAAGCACCTATGAAATGGCAAAGAATTACCATTCCTTTAACTGGATTAGCTAAATCCAAGTAATGATAAAAATATATTTCAATAATACTTTCTCATGCATAAATTTGTAAAATTTAAGTATAAAATAATAAATTTAAATATAAAATAAAAAATTTAATAAGCAATTTAAAATGTTTTATTTTTACTAAGATAAACATTAATATTACAGACTGGCAAAGTCAATAAAAGATTATCCAACCACTTATCAAAACAATCTACAACTCATAAAATTTTGCAAAACAGGAATATTTCTATGGGGAAAGCCAATAGCATCTCTAGCTTCTCTTGCTAATTCAATTGATGATAATTTATGAATAATTTGAAATGAGATTGAGAAATTTTAATATAAGAAATTACCACAGTACCTTTATCTAGTATAGTACACTTGTTTTTGTATTAAACAGAACTGATACTAAGATAGTTCTGTTTTATCATAGATGTTATGAGTTATGTGTTTAAAAACTTTCACATTTAAAAACTGTTAAATTTAAAAATTAATTGAACAGAAAAGTCAAAGATTTTAATTATGCTTAGAATTTGATGATGGATGCTGCAAAAACAGTTGATTATTATTGACTAGAATTCTTTATTGAATTCTGTTATTACAGTCAAGTCCACATAAGTCAACACCCCAGGGGAAGTGGAAATGTTTCAAGTTATCCGATATAATGACTAAAACAAAGTTGAAAAAACCACAAAACTACAATTAGAAAAATAAGTAGTACTTTATACAGTACATGCAATGTATCTCTCTGACCATCCATCACTGGCACTAATGTTGGTTTCTACTCCAAGTAACTCAGTGATTTCCATTGCATTTTGTTTTAGAGTTGGTCCTGAAACAGGAAGATTTGATGAACAAATTTGCTTTAGCCAACATTCCAGAGCATCTTTGACATCTTTCTCTGGCATTTTCAAGATATGTCAACTTTCTCTGGCATTTTCAAGATATCCATGACAAAGACTCAACAAAAAGTTTTTTAATTTCCTCTTTTTTTCCAGAATTCTAATGTTGTTCTTGGAAGGTTTTCTTGTTTTGCAAATTCGGTTTGCAAAGTTTTATTACATTCAAATTCAGATACAAGTTTATATTTTTCCTTCAGCATAAGCATTGTTATGTTTTGAATACTCATTTATAACAGAAATGTGAAACACTTGCTGCAAATAATACATGAATGAAAGGTGAGAATATGCAAAATTGGATTCTGCTAAGACGTTAAGCTGTGTGCTGTGAACTTAATTTTTTCAGGAGGGCCAGTTGACTTATCAGATGTCTAAATGAGTGTGGGACTGAAAAAGTATGTCGATCTATCCAGGGGTGATATAGTATTGAGTAAACCAGAGTTTTTTAACATTAATGCCTATGTAAGCCAACCAGGACTATAGAAAACTGACTAATTAACTGATGATGTCTAGTTATACCTATGACAACTTAGGCTAGGAACATATATGCTTAAAATTCAGTGTAAAATCTAGTATAAAACAGAAAGCATAAAAATTTTTCTGAAATTTTGGCTGAAAAATAACTGAAAAAACAGTAGAGCATGTCTCTACTTTTTATACATGTAAAATTTTGATGCCAAAATTCCTCCAATAAAGAGAAGTTTTTTTTGTGATGTCAAAATAAACACATGGTTTTTATTCTGTTAATGACGATTAGCCCTACAATTGTGACAGTCTCCAAGAAATGATAAATAAATGAAATAGAGACTTTATTGAATCCTTTCGACCATATCAATGTCTTTATGACCAAAAAAGTGACATGTATAAAGATACTGTATTTAAACAAAGTTTATGGACAGCCGTAGGTGCTAAATTTCAAATAACAAGTAGGTCTAGTAGAATTGATATATAGTATTTAGGTCACAAGTTATTTCAATTCAGAATACAAGTCTATTAATTTAAATTTTCTAAATTATAGCAGAGGCAGCAGAGAAAAAATGGAAGGTACAAAAGGATAAATACGAGAGAAAAAAAAATAATAAAATGTAGCACTGTTAGTGGCAGTGGCATTTCCTATTTGACCAGAATTTTTACCTATGTGTGTTCTGTCATAAAAGCGTAAAACAGAAACTGAATCGAAAGCTGATTTCTGATTCAGTTTTTCTGCCATACAATTTTATGTGTGTGTGTTCTTGGCCTGTATTTCAGAATCAATCAATTAAATTATAAATTACTATAAATGGATATTCATTCATTCAAAAAATATTTGAAAAATAAAATAATATGAGTTTATAATTAAATTTAAATAAAATTTGAAAAATAATTCTATTTAAAATTTACAAAAAATTTTTTTTTAATTTTCACAATAGGTTAATAGTAGAAAACACAAGGTTTCTTCATTTTTTTTCATATATTCTTTTATTTAACAAAAATATAGAATTTTAGCTTTTAGTATACATAGAACATACTAAGATGAATATGTAATTTTATACAGTATTTATTTTTAATAGATGGACTCGTTTTCATTGGAATCAAGAAGCAACTCAAGAACTTTCAGTTTCACATAATTGGGGTATAAAAGATATTTACATTGGTCCAGCCTGTAAATATAATTGTTTTGGACATGGTTCCTGTTATAAATTCCAATGTAAATGTGATAAAGGATATTCTGGAGAGTATTGTAGAAATGTAACAGCAAATATAGTAAGTTCTAACACTGTACTTAAGTTTTATTAAACATTAATACTTTTTTTTATTTTATAATGTTCTAGTAAAAATATGATACAAACTAAATCACAAATCTTATTTATTAAATATAAATCTGAAAAGTCAAATAATTTCAGAATATGTTAAGGCTAATTTTTAATTAATTAATATCAAAATTTTATCTAAATATAAGCAATACCTTAATGAAAAATGAATAACTTTAATCAATTTCACTATCAGGTGAAATTGATTCAAGTTATTAGAACAGGCAAAGAATAAGTTAGAATATTTCTATAAGAAATAATAGGAAACATTTCCCAATATCCAAATTCTTTGTATTTTGAACCATTTTTGGGACTACATTAGATTTGGATGATGTGGTATGTATATATTTTATATTATGTATATATAAACAAAACTTGCTTATAAATAAAACAAAAACTACTAATTATTTGTTAAAATTTAGTGTAAATGCCATATGATAGTTTATTCAAAAATTCATGTATTTGTTATTGAAATATGATGTCATGTAGAAAAACAAATTGCTTTATCAACTCATTAAACTAGATATTATGAGAGTATCCAACAGATATATTTAATTTTATAATATAATTATTTAATAAAATTAAAATTATTTCATAATTATTTTATAAAATTAACTAAATCTGTTGGATACTCCCATAATATCTAGTTTAATAAGTTGATAAAGCAATTTGTTTTTATACATGAAATCATATTTCAATAACAAATACATGAATTTTTGAATAAACTATCATNTTAAGAAATTATATTTTTAAACTCCTTAAGCAGTTTTTGAATGTTTCAAATATAACCATTCATCTTCAGCAATGTCTAATTTATGTAGAACCAATAATCTTCTCTGAAAATCTTTTGTACAGAAATATATATATATATATTTCTGTACAAAAGATTTTCAGAGAAGATTATTGGTTCTACATAAATTAGACATTGCTGAAGATGAATGGTTATATTTGAAACATTCAAAAACTGCTTAAGGAGTTTAAAAATATAATTTCTTAATTGCAGTATTAACTATCTTAAGCAGAAAGTATTTTCATTAAATTAATTTTGGATTGAATTAGATAAAGATTCTTAATAAAATGCTTTTATAAATTCAATTTTTACTTTCTTGAGTCTGTTATATATAACAGAGGGAAAGTATGGCAATTGGTCAATAAATAACTCTTCAAGATTTTTACAATTTTGGACTCAGGACCTTGAAATATCAAAAAAATGCAAAAAAATTTGTGGGTATTTTCTGTATGTATGGATGTTTGTGTATGTGGGTGGAGCACAATTTTGTTCACCCTCTTTGAAGCTTAATAACTCCTGTTCTTTTTGTTGAAAATTTCTAAAATTTTGCAGGGAGGTTTGTGTATTGGGAGATTGATGCTATTAAATTTTGGTGGTGAAAGATCAATAGAGTGGGAAGATAAAGGGGGTCATATCTCAAGTAGGGTTGGGCTTAATGACATTTTTACTCATTAGCATTTATAATCATTTAGCATTTATAATCATACATCATTTAGCATTTATAATTTTTTATAACACCCATTCTTAACTTCAAAATTAAGCTTNGAAATTTGACAGATAATCAAAAGCATACTTTCATCAACTTTTGAATGTTAAATGGACAGTAATCCAATAAAATCTGTTAGAGATAATTTGACTGTTAATAAAAGAAATACATTTCAGTTTCAAATAGATAAGAAATAAAATAAATAAAATTTCAATTTATTCAAATTTAAATTATTAATTGTGCTATGAATTTCAATAATCCTAATAGATTTTCTGTAATTTGCATGTAGGATATGTTTTCAGTTAATAATTAAAATAAAAATATAATTCCTTTACTTAAAATATGGTGTTGTTGACAATAATTTAAAAAATTATATTCAAACAGTACCAGAAATCTGAACATATATAAAGTGAGGAAAAGGACATTAATTAAGATAAAACTTAAAATTTCAAAGATATTAATTAATGTTGAATAACAACTTTCTGAATTTGCTTTAATAGAATTATATAACAAAATCTCCTTCTTAAAGTAAATTTAAGAGAAATAACATAATGTGGATCCAAAATAACTCCAGACTTCTCTTACTCATATAATAGAAAAGCTCAAAATTATAATTTGACATTTTTTAAAGAAAAAATATCTTTAATAAATGAAACAAACAATTTGTTGGATATGCCAATGAATATCTAAAATAAGTACATTAAAATAAGACCCAGATCTAAATCTCTTATATGAAGTTCTTTTGTACAAATAGTCTTGCTTGTTACTTATGTTATATACAGTAATTTATTTTCATATGTTTGACATTTAAATTTGATTTGTAATCACATTAGGATCTTACATTCACCACTAGACTAATCTAAATTCCAATTATTTTAGAAATAGGTTTAAGACTTAAAATGTTAAGTGTTTAAACTAGAATAAAAAAAAAATCAGCAACAGTAAGAATATGAATGGGAAAAATCATATACAAGTCTGAAATTTTTGATAAAATTTACTTTTTCTAGATCACTTATAGTTGATAATTTAAAGACTTTTAATTCCAGTTTAAAATTTGTATTTTTAATCTTTATTCATTTATATTTAAATGTTTTAAATATTTGATGTATTTCATAATGATATAAACTTATATTAATATTAATTTTTATTAATGAATTTAATATTTTCATATCAAATTAGTAAGCATTTTAGGAATAATGTTTATCAATTATTTATGCTTATTAATTCTTTACAGATAAAAAATAAATATTGTCATTCTACTTATGGTAATTCAATGGTATGGCTAACTGATACAGAGAATGGAGAAAGAAGTATAACTACAAGAGAACTTATTATTGGCGAAAATTATATGATTCAGTTTAGGGTAGGCATAATTAATTATAGCAATTAAAATTAGTATAAGATATAGAATTTGAGGAAATAGTTAATTTGTTAATAAAAACTATTGTTAATTAATATTGAAAGTAACAAATTTTGATTATATAAACTAAATTTTAAGGATGACTAACTGTAATGTTATACTTACAGTAGTAAGATAGTTTATTATAGTTGTTTATTGTTATTTTTAAATAATAAAATGGTACAAAATAAATTTTTAACAGGAATTTCTTGGAATTTAATACATGAATTAGACTATACATTATATTCTACTCCCCGAAGCGATTATTTATTAATACCTACAATAGCAAGATCACCAGCTACCAGAATTCGTTGGTGGCAAGCTACTAATTTGGGAATTAATGAAAATTATAAAGAATACCTTATTCCTGCTTGGTCTCTTGACGATATACATATTGGTGGCTCACAAATAAATCCTCCAGAATTATATGAAGACTTTGAAAATGGCATTGATGAACAAAATTGGTGGTTTCATCCACATGGGCAGGTATAAATTTCATATTTTATACTTTAGAATATTTCAAAACTATTTTTAAAAATTTTAATTTCTTCCATTCCATCCCCTTTAGCACCCCATAATGTTGTCACTCATACTCACCCACAAAATTACATAATGCACATCCTTGATCAATGTCTTAATTGTACTAAGTAATAATATACATCATGGACTATTTATTTTATTAATTACATGTATAAGGTATAAAGCAGTGATGTAAAGAGTACAGTTTGCTATTGTTCTTGAAAAGATGTAACCAAACATTAAAATATTTAGTTAAATTGAAACTTAAAAATGAAACATCAGATCTACTTAACTTAGTTTTTGTTGCTCTGCATCATAACTTACACAGGGCTGGAAATTTCATAAGATATGCAGAGAAATAATTTCTCTGTGATGGAAACTATATATTAATGCTGTTTTTAAATCAATGTCATTTAACTGAATTTTCTAACTAATCTTACCATGAAATTTAAAATTTCGAAGGAGATTAGTTTTGAAATTCAAATTTAAAAGTACAGTTGAAATTTGACAGATAATCAAAAGCATACTTTCATCAACTTTTGAATGTTAAATGGACAGTAATCCAATAAAATCTGTTAGAGATAATTTGACTGTTAATAAAAGAAATACATTTCAGTTTCAAATAGATAAGAAATAAAATAAATAAAATTTCAATTTATTCAAATTTAAATTATTAATTGTGCTATGAATTTCAATAATCCTAATAGATTTTCTGTAATTTGCATGTAGGATATGTTTTCAGTTAATAATTAAAATAAAAATATAATTCCTTTACTTAAAATATGGTGTTGTTGACAATAATTTAAAAAATTATATTCAAACAGTACCAGAAATCTGAACATATATAAAGTGAGGAAAAGGACATTAATTAAGATAAAACTTAAAATTTCAAAGATATTAATTAATGTTGAATAACAACTTTCTGAATTTGCTTTAATAGAATTATATAACAAAATCTCCTTCTTAAAGTAAATTTAAGAGAAATAACATAATGTGGATCCAAAATAACTCCAGACTTCTCTTACTCATATAATAGAAAAGCTCAAAATTATAATTTGACATTTTTTAAAGAAAAAATATCTTTAATAAATGAAACAAACAATTTGTTGGATATGCCAATGAATATCTAAAATAAGTACATTAAAATAAGACCCAGATCTAAATCTCTTATATGAAGTTCTTTTGTACAAATAGTCTTGCTTGTTACTTATGTTATATACAGTAATTTATTTTCATATGTTTGACATTTAAATTTGATTTGTAATCACATTAGGATCTTACATTCACCACTAGACTAATCTAAATTCCAATTATTTTAGAAATAGGTTTAAGACTTAAAATGTTAAGTGTTTAAACTAGAATAAAAAAAAAATCAGCAACAGTAAGAATATGAATGGGAAAAATCATATACAAGTCTGAAATTTTTGATAAAATTTACTTTTTCTAGATCACTTATAGTTGATAATTTAAAGACTTTTAATTCCAGTTTAAAATTTGTATTTTTAATCTTTATTCATTTATATTTAAATGTTTTAAATATTTGATGTATTTCATAATGATATAAACTTATATTAATATTAATTTTTATTAATGAATTTAATATTTTCATATCAAATTAGTAAGCATTTTAGGAATAATGTTTATCAATTATTTATGCTTATTAATTCTTTACAGATAAAAAATAAATATTGTCATTCTACTTATGGTAATTCAATGGTATGGCTAACTGATACAGAGAATGGAGAAAGAAGTATAACTACAAGAGAACTTATTATTGGCGAAAATTATATGATTCAGTTTAGGGTAGGCATAATTAATTATAGCAATTAAAATTAGTATAAGATATAGAATTTGAGGAAATAGTTAATTTGTTAATAAAAACTATTGTTAATTAATATTGAAAGTAACAAATTTTGATTATATAAACTAAATTTTAAGGATGACTAACTCCAGTTAAAATATTTTCAAAGACTAAATATAATTACAGAGCTCTCAACCTGTAATTTTGAAACAAGTCTGTAATCCAAGACATACAGAAATGATAAAATAAAATAATTATTAAATAAGATTCTCATACAAGTTTTGTACTTTATTTTACACTCATTATACTAATACATTAGCAGTAATTCCTGCAAAAATTGAAAATATTTTGTCAGTTGTTTTGCCACTTTTGATTTTATATCACACCATTGCAATCTTCAGTCTACCCATTATTCTGTACAAATTCTGTTCATGAGAATACCTCTCACAGATGAATGCATTGCCTCATCTGTTATTTTGATGATTCATTAGCAAATTGGTGAGGTTTGATGGAATAGAGTTAACTGCATAGTGTTGACTCTCACAACAAGTCTTAGAAATTTTTGTACATTGTGTTCTGTAGTAGATATCATTTCCAAACTTTTCCAGTAGAAAAATAGACATTTTCTTTTATCTTAAAATGCAAATTTCACAAGTATACTGATGTTTTAACTTTTACAGGAATATGTGACGTTTTTATTATTTTTTATCTATGCAACTGATTATGAAAATTAGTTACTATTGAATTATATATATATATACATTTTGGACAAAATTACTTTAATTAAAAATAAATTTTTTATTAATCTGTATTTAAAAATGTCTGGAAATCAATCAACATAAATAAATTTTATATTGTGTTCTTAGTAATTTTTACAAGTATGTATGTATAATTTAACCAAAAATTCCAACATATTGTAATCATGTCAAATACATATATTCATAATACAACTGAATAAATTTTATGGTAATTTTCCTCATTCTCATTTTTGCAGATTGCTTGATTAGTAGACTCCTAGGAATAAAAAAAGAAAAAGAAATCATTATAATAACTTGACACTTCTGAAGATTATTAAATTTTTATTATAGAATATAAAAATATATTGTATGTAATTTAGTAAAAAACATTCTTAAAAAATTTTTAATTTTTCTTCACCAATTTAGTATATATACTATAAAAGGTAAATGTTATTAAATAAATATGCAAACTTTGTTTTTGGCTTGATTTCAAATAGAAAACTTGAAAAGTGGTGAAAATTATTTTTTTTATAAAAAGTTGATTTTTTTAGTTAAAATTATTTTAATTGAATAAATATTAATCATAAAAATTTTTGATAATTTTTATGACTAATATTAGTTGAAAAAATTTTTAGAAACACGTTTTACAAAATAAAAAAATTTTCAAATAATCATACTCATTTTTCAAAAAATTTTTTTCTGCAGATTGCTTTTCTTATTTCATATTTCTATTGACAGCGTATCAACTTGAGAATTATTGTTGTTCTTTTCCATTGCAGCAGGCTGTGAAATGTGTTTCCATGGTCTGTGGAGGACAGTATGTCTATATGGAAAATATACATGGCAATATTTGCCATTTTGAATACTCACACAAACAGTGCCAAAATATTATGATCATGTGTGTTAATTTGTACTATGTATCATTTATTGTCAGTTAGTTTCACAAGTCACTGATTTATTGTCATAGTGTTAAAAATACCACCATGTGTATTACAAAATTTGCACTATATAGCAGAAACCCCATAGTAATGTAGAAGAGCAATTTCTAAATATAAGATTTCAACTTCTTGTGGGGATCACCAATTCTTCTTAAGTGGTCATGCTTACATTTTTTCATAAACATTATTCCTCTGCAAAAATCTAAAAAAAATCTTCAAAAATATAACTAACACTTGGCTGATGAAGAGTGATGATCAATAAAAACAGGATTAGTAGATTTATGTGGTTTATTAATTAATTTATGTGGTTTATTAATTAACAATGTCAACCTGATATACGAAAAAATATTATGCATAAGAAAAAGGAAACTTTTTGCAGAATTTTTAAAATATGATTTTCATATAAGGAGTTTAATGGTGAATATCTATTATTTTGTATAATTTGTAGCAGAACTTTTGTAGGTTTCAAGCTTTTAAAGCCATCTGGAACCAAATCATCCAATGTATGTCAAAAAAGCTATTGTTATATATCTTTCAAAAAGAAACCATCCAACTTACTCAAAAAATTCAAAAAAAAAATTTTTATTAAAACAAAGTATGGAATGAGACAATACTTTTAAAGATTGATATTGAGGCATCACTAAAAAAGCAGACAAATGCTAAATAGAATACAGTGGGCATGCAGACAGCACCCTCATAAAGCTAATTTTCTACATAAAAAGTGAGGTCAAAAGCTCTGTAATTACACAATTTAGAACACAAAACTTCTTAAATTATATGTATAATTCAAATGAACACTATTCACAGTTATAAAATTATTTTTTCTTCTATAAATGTGAAAAATCATTGAAAAGTCGTTCTAATGAAAAACATTTGTTTCACTAATTCAGTAATTGAAAAAATTTAAGATATTTACAACTTGTTCAAATACTATAAAACTAAACAAATGAAAGATAGGATTTTGGTTTTTTCAAGTATTTTTATTTTCATTAAATTAAGTCATGATTAATATAAATGTATAAAGATCAAAAAACTTGAAACTTGCATTAAAATATAATAAATAATCTTTTGAATAATTTCTGACTATATTAAAGATTGATTTTAATTAAAACTAATCTTTAATATAATCATAATCTGGTAAACTAGAGATTATATAATAATAAATTGAAATAACAAAACAATATCTATTATTTTTTAATCAAAGCAAAATTTAAAACTATATATATAGTTTTAAATTTTGCTTTGAGTAAAAAATCTAGACAAAACTGGCTCAAAAATTATTAAAAAATAATTCCTCTCTCTCTCATATATAGTTTTATATATGTATATATAAAACTATATATATATAGTTACATATATATATATAGTTATATGTATGTATGTATGTATGTATGTATTCATATATATATACACACATATTTTAATGAATTTAAACTGTATATACATATTAAGAATAAACATATAACATTAGCAATATTGCTTTATTGAGGAGATGCATTATGATTTACATAGTAAAGTATGGATAATGCACAATAATTTTAATTTCAGTTATTCCTGTTCTTTTTTTAGCATTTGAGAAAATATTTTATTTCAATAAAAGCATTGCTGAAATTTTATCTAATAAAAATTCACATGAATCTATGAATAATGATTTCTTATTCAACTAACAAAATAAATTTTAAAAATAGTCTGATTATTTGATAAAGTTTTAACTTTCAATTACCTTTCTAATTGGAATCAGTTCAATTCTTCCATTCAAACTAAATAGTTCACAGTCAACTCTGAACTATTTGATAATTTAGATTTTATACTTTATGTAACACTAACTTATTCATGATACTATATGTAAGTTTCTCATTTGTTGCAAAATAAGATTTATGTGAATTGGATCGGTAAATTAACTTCTTATATATAAAAATAAGTTTTACTATCAATATTTGTTCAGTGATCATTGTAGTTTGATAAAAGCATATAGAATATATTCACATTAAAATGATAAATTGCAGTCATATTTTTTAGCTAAAAACTATTTTAAACATAACATCAGTTAAAATGAAACATTAGTTTCTGGAAATTTGACTAACTTTGAATTCTCCTGGGTTCATTACTCAGTTAACTTCTAAAGATGGAAATATAACTCATGTAATTAGAATGGTTGCTGTGAATCGTATTTTAGATCCTTCAACAGTGCTTACATGAGATTTTTTTAATATATTTTTAACATGATATAATTGTTCTGTATCAATTTTATTTTCCATTTGAAAATCTACTTTATAATTTAGTAAAATTTCAGTTTAAAACAGAAATAATCATTTTGTATTGTTTGAGCTGTTTTTTTTTTTTTATATTTAATATGACTCTTCTCTCAATATAAAGTAACAAATTCTTACATATCTTGTTTAGAGTATTTTGATTAAAGGAATATTTTAAGGAATAGAATAGATGTAGAAAAAATAAAAATAAGTTATTTAGGGTATGTATTTAATGATGATTAAAAATTTTCCTTTCAGATAATTGTTGACTGTGATCAATTGCATCAGTGTATCACAAACCACAATATTAAATTAGAATATAGTAAAAATCCAGGATCAAGTAAGATTATACTTTAATAATAAAGTTTTAAGTTTTATTTCATTTTTAAAAGTGAATAAAAATAAAAATATTTATTTAACTTTAATTAATTTTTATTTTATCTATTATTATTTTTAAATAATTTAGTTAAAACCACCTAAGCCAGATTAAAAGAGGAAAAAAAATGGTCTTTGCATGGAATTTAAGGAATGCCTTCTATCCAACACTCTCTGTAACTGAATTTTAAAAATAAAACATATCCTTTTTTTTTTATTATTGATTCTGTCCCTCTCTCTCTCTCTCTCTGTTTTTTAAACCCTGTCATTTTGTTAATGCTTCTTTGCACTTCATGCACTATAGTTAATCTGGCCCTGTATAATACTACTATTGCCATATACTATACATATTAATGATACTGTACTGTACATCCATTACTTAGACATTTTTCACAACTTGGATGTGAAAAAATTTCTATTTATATATTAAAAACTATTGTAAAAACAAAATATTATTAGTTTTCATTTTTAATTAAAGATTATTTAAAATATTTTTATAGATATGTGGGAAGAAGTTCAATATGATTGTTTGCCTAGTAATTCAATGGATCATCCTGACTGTTCACCTTACCAGTTACATTTATCTAGTCAATATTCTGCAAATGGTTTTAATACATGGACATTAATTACAATAATGCTGCCTGAGAAAACATATTCCAGGTATTGTTTTTTTATATAATATATTGGTAATGTAATAAAGATATTCTTTTGAGCTAGAAGTTCTTTAATCCTGTATCTTTGAGATCCAACAAATGCTGGATTACAGAAAATGTCAAATAATTTCTTTGATCTGGCACAATATAATAAATTTCTATGGTTGAAATGAATGGTTTCTTTCATTTATTAAATAATCATTATCAAACTTGAATTAAAAATGTTTAAATGGAGAAACAGGATTTGTAAAAAGTGAAACAGATAATTAAAAAATGTTTTTCAAACAATATCAATATGAATCGAAAATGTATGTTCTAGCAATTTTTGCAGATTATATGCAAGAAATGTTTAGCAGTTCTGACTAAACTTTCTCATATTATTTAAGGTGTATGTATAAGTTCATTTAATGCTTATATTTAGATTCAGTTTTTTTGTTTTTGTTTTATATGTATATTGATTACGATTTGACACACACACACACACAATCATGAAAGTTTCCAATTTTAAAACAAAAATTTAACATTTGTACAAGAACAGAAGTCATTAACAATTTATAATTGCTGTGCCAAGGTATTGATATAATAAATACAATGGCTCAGTATGCCAGTTTTATTGTGCAAAAAAAGTCTAATTTTCTAAAAGTCAAAACTACTTGTACTCTATTTTGGATGTAGGTTATCCACATTTAATCTAATCATTTTTAAAACATTTTTAAAACCACAGAAATAAAATTAATAGATTTTATTTTATGAATTATTAGCATTATTATTAACATCAATAAACTTTCTCACAACAAACAAAGTATGTAATTTTGAAGAAGCAGATGCTCCTCTACTTATGAACATTATGACTGTACATCAAAAATTTAAATTTTGTGCAGATTCTGAGTTCTCTTGACACTCTTGGGGTAGCATTGAAGTCAGTCTTTCACCAATAATACGTGATTTTTCATTAAGAGCACTCAAACTTCAAATTTAAATAAAACAAGTTGTACAGGAGATATCATTAATTTTATTTTTTTACTTGAAAAGTATTTGATTACATTATGTATGGAAAATAATATCGGCCAAATGGCTGCCACAACTTTGCCGGGCATCACATATCCGGAGGTCTAATTTTCAATGACTTGACCTCATAAATCGGGCTCGATATCATTGACAGCATTGGTTATGTTGACTTTTAAGGCATCAATCATCTATGGCTTATTTGCATAGACCCATGATTTAACATAGCCCTACAAGAAAATGTCTAATGGCATTAAATCACACAATCTCGGTGGCCAGTTGACATCGTCGAAATGTGAGATAACCATGCTGTCAAATTTGTCATGCAGAAGATCCATTGTTGCATGCACTGTGTGGCAGGTAGTGCTGTCTTGTTGGAACCACATGTCGTTGAGATCACTATCTTTCAATTTAGGCCACAAAAAATTGGTTATCATCGACCTGTACCTCTCGCCAATGAGAGTTATGGCAGTGCCAGCTTCATTTTGGAAGAAGTACAGGCCAATGACCCCGCCAAACCAAAATTCACACCAAATAGTGACTTTTTCTGGTGCATTTGCAACTGGTAAGTCTCGTCTATTGTTATCTCTCCAAATGCGACAATTTTGCTTATTAATGTAGCCATTCATCCAAAAATGGGCCTCATCACTGAAGATGATTTTCCATTTGAAATCAGGGTCCACTTCCAACTGCTCCAGAGCCCAGTCAACGAATGCTCAATGCTGCCTATGGTTGTTTATCTTCAGTTTCTGGGTCAATTGAATTTTGTACAGGTGCAGGCCAAGCCCCGATGCAAAATTTGCCAAGTTGAGGTCTGCGAAAGGCCAAGTTTTGGATGTGACAAGGAATTGACTGCTGCAGGTTATCCTGCACACTCTCGTTCACTGCAGCAATGTTTTTTGCAGACCTCATGTTTCTACAACATATGGGTGTTGTTTGATTGTTTACTGAGCCAGTTGATTCAAATTTGTCCACCAAACGACTAATAGTCGACTCAACATGACGATTGTGTGCACTGTAAAAATCACATAGCACATGGAACATAGCTCAAACTGAGCACTCATTTTGATAAAAAAGTTTAATGATTTGCACACATTGCTCAACACTGTAATTTTCCATGATGATTTGCGCAACATTAATTACTATAACCTCCAAATTTGACAGCTCTAGCTTCACTAACATGGTCACTATACACTGTCAAAGTTCAAGTGCCCCTAGCAGAAAACCCTTTATATATTAAATTTTTATTAAATAATTAATATGGGCTTATTTCTATTGCATGTCATTATTTTTTATTTTTGCACAAATTCTGAGGTTTCATTTCCACTTGTGAGATTAAAGTTGGTAATGTTGGAATAACAGCATGTTTTGCTATTGTTTGCCATTTTTATAAACTTTTCTGATTAGTGCTTCAAAAATGCATCCAAAGCATAATAGTAAATTTAGCAGTGGAGATAAGTGCAAGAAGTATTACTATATTTTCATGGAAACTAAATTGGACATTATAAAACTAAGTGCATTAGGTGGGAAAAAACCCACGTTTGTAACACCTGCTACCAAGCAGTAGCAAACAGATAAATGAGTGTAACATATTCTATTAAGCACATTGAAGAATCACACATTAACAATAAGTGGTTATTCTGTGTAAAAATGTACTTTTTAGGTTAGTCTTTGACTTACAATAAAATCTCAGGAACCTAACCTGTTTGTAAGTAAGAGAGCTCCTGTACATTAAAATTTTTTTAATATTTTAATCATAATAAAATGTAATAGTAAACAATATTCATATTTCCATTGCTTTTTATACAGTTCTTTAGCCAGTAATAATCAATAATAACTATGAAATAATAATAAATTGCTCTTGGAAAGTACAGTATTCTTAATATTACTATTCTATTGTGTTCTATAAGTAATAAAATCAATCTGAATAGTTACAGGATATGTTTGTTTTTATACATAAAAAGTTATATATAAGAAGAGAATCAATAATAATAATAATAATTACTTTAATTGAATGATATATTCCATAAGAATTAATTATTTTTATTTTTTGCTTTTTAATTTAAATGGTAATTTGATTTTTCTGTAGTTCTACACAATTCAGATGGATACAAAATTCAGAAAATTCCACAAACAGACCTATCTCTCTGCCATCATGGGGTTTAGATGATGTATATATTGGTGAGATGTGCCCATCAATGTGTTGGGGAAGAGGAAAATGCATTAAAGGAATATGTAACTGTGATACTGGATTCTCTGGTAAATTTTATATTTTGATATTAATTATATTGGCATTAAAGTATCTTACATTTGCTAAAGATAAAAATATCATTTGAGTATTTTTTTCACATAATATTTTTATTTATATATAATTTTATTCAAATGCAATATATCATTTTACAGAAATTAAATTTCTAAAATATCAAAATATCAGTCAATTAATTTTACATCATAATTTAATCATTTAATACAACATAATATAATAACAATGATAATTATTATTATTATATTATGTTAATCTATACAAATATTATAAAGAGGTAAAGTTTGTAAATTTGGATGTAGGAGGTAATCTCTGAAACTACTCATCCAATTTCAAAAATTCTTTCACCAATATTTAGAATGGACCTTCAGGGTGGACATATACAGCCTATGTCCATAGGCTGTATATTATTCCGTTAAACATTCATATAAATTAAAAGATATCATCTAGGTAAGCATTATATTTTTGTTGTCAGTGGGTGGCATTTATCCTCATTTCATTTATTGTATTTTACCACATAATACCCACTTAAATATTCGTATACAATTATATGTCATACAGTAATTTTTTGGAACTGTACTTCTCTTCTATTTCATTGTATTTAATTGATTATCAATTCGTGTATAATAACAACACCATGCCTAAAAGAAAATCACATCTTTCACAGCAAACATCTCAGACAAGAACAGCTAAAATACTCACAAACTGAATTCCATGCGGGTGAAACCGCAGGCACAGCTAGTATATTAATATAATTATTATATTATGTTTAGATTATATTATGTTTAGGGTTTCTCCAATGGGATCCTGGGAAATCTGAGATCCTGGCCTGCTTATTAGTTTTTTTAAATTTTTGCTTATTATGGCACATTATAGATTGTCAATAATCAATATGTAGCCTATTTGTGACAAGTCTCTGAAAATTCTTTACTTGTCAGAACCTGTAATATCTGGAAAAATTGTGTTTATGCTGTCTTAACTTTTAACCATGCCTGGTACTTCAATAACTACATTATGCAGGTTGTGCAAATTTGGCAAGGATACAAATGAGTACAAAGTATGCAAGTATGAAGATTTTCTTCATAAAACTGATTATTAAAGCCAAATGAACTGCCGAATTATTGGGCTGTAAGCTTGATGCCGTCCGAGATAGACAAATCAAGAATACTATATGGTAAAAGAAATACTGTAACACATCTCAAAAACAAACTAGAAATCTTTGAGGCTACAGATGAAAAAACACATAACATCCGTCTTCTCTTAAATGCATTGAAAACAATTCCACTCACATCAATTGAATCGAAAAGGGCATTCTTGGTAGCAGGACTTTTCATTACTAAAATAAGAACCAGATTGAGTGATTGGAGTATTGACCAGCTTTGCTTTTTAAAATCTTATTATAAAAATTTACAATATCATTTTGTATTATGTTTTATTTAAATAATGAAATTACCTTCTAACTTAGAAGTTTGATCTAAATTTATTTTTTTTCTTTAAATTTTCAACTCAATTCAAAAGCATTTTTGTTGTAAGCAGTTTCCAACAAACTTTAATAAATCTTTTCTATTTGTGAAAATTTCTATGTAACTCAAAAGTAATTTTTTATACATATTTTACACAGCATNTCGTACAGTATGTAAATTAGGTACCGTAAGTCTAATACAGTACTGTAATTTTATACATTTCGTGTGAAAAAAAACATTTCTTATTCAACGGCGATTAAAATTATTTATATTAATGATGTCTCCAAAGTTCAGCAAAGTTTTCGCAGAAAAATAACATCAGAAATTGCGGCTGCAGTCTGTTGAGTTGTTCCGCGACGAAAACAAGCTTGAGCAATGGCGATGTCGAATGGTGCACACTCGATAAGTAATCCTACAATTTTTTGTTTATAGTGTAGTTTTTACGGATTATTTCCAAAAAAAATATATGTATTTTGGGAATGTTGAGTCGGATTAGTCTAGAATCGATTAATTTTATGGAAGAAAACCTTTCAAACAGACGAAGTCCGTAAACTTCACATGTGTCGGGCTGTGATTGGCTGTGATTCCTACAAAATCGGATTCATAAAGAATGGAACATATCTGCTGTCTTATAGGGGGATCTACTGTATATATAATCATTGACTGGAAACAGTTGGAACCACTAATTAAATTGCATAATAATTGAATGCAGTTGTTCTTCTAATAGGTTAGATTGTCCAAGCAACTTCTCAGCATGGAAGATTGCTTCAGAAGGTGGGATGAAAGGGTAGAGAGAGACTACATTAGTTTTATACATTTGAAAACTTCTCAGTAAAATAATCTTGGTTTATTCTAACAGATGGATTTGACCCTACAGACAAAGCACATGATGTATAGGGACTTTGTGAGGAAGGACTTCAGATGTGTAATGAGAATTTTTTTTTTGGTAAAGTAAGTTGGATGTCAATGTTTATTTACCTGTAGGTGAAGAGATCTGTCTTATTTGCACATCTTGACTTCAAAAAATAAGCATTGACATGTGATTTTCAAAGGAGTTTTCAGGTGGTCACATAACTCTAGAAGGTATAGATTTTTGGAAAGTCATAATAACTTGACTTTTGTATTTGTTGGTAGGATCAGACACTAACTGCTGAAATTTTGTAGATTCTAATAAGTCTGTAACCGTATCTTGAAAATGTTTCTCAGACATGACAACAAATCCCTTTTATTTGTTTGCAACCAGTAATTGCAAGTTGTGTGTAGCTAGAACGCCTTAAATTTCTTTAGTTTGGAAAAGATACAGTAGACCCCATAACACTATTTCTGTAGATAATTCCGTGTTATATGAATTCCATGTTGTATGAGTCACTTAGAGTTTACAAATACATGAGCCATTCACAGCCCGGCACACGTATTTGTAAAATCTAAGTGACTCGTACAACATGGAATTCATATAACACAGAATTATCTACAGTGTTTATAAGCGGGTCTACTTGAGTACTTGAGTCCATATAATACCAAACAAATACATGTAAGTAAACAAATAAATAAAAATAAAGAATTAAAATTTTTAAAGCATAAAACAGGAATTAGAGGAACAAGCCTATTATAAATTGAAAATGATATCCTTGATATGGAAGATGGGTTAGTTTATAGGCTTATTTTGGAGGAAGTGCAAAACTTTGAGCAGGAATAATGTGTTTTCTGTCCTGCATAGCCTCATTTCATAATGGCTGAAAATTATGATATATAATCAATTTGGCCAATTCAATGGAACTTCTTTTTGCTAAAACATCCCTTTTGTGTTCAGTAATTCTGTATCAGAGTTACACTAAATTGCTCTAATATAATATAGCATCACATTGTCAGAAGAAATGGGAGTTTTATGAGAAAGATCCAGCAAGTTTTCTGAGTCAAAGTCAGATGTTATGAATCCTCTAAGGGAGTAACAAGAGCTGAAGGCTTGTTGAACAGACAGCAATCTGGTAAGATACAATATAAGATCAGATCTTGAAAGTATAGCATGATTTTGGCAAACTTATGTGCAATTTATTGTCATGTCAGCATTGTTAGAGACTATATGGTACATTTTGAAATAGCGGAAGAAGGATAATTCATTTTTGTGTTGTATATGTGATGATAGAAATCTCCTAATTGAAGAAATCCAGATTAAAGTGAAGAAGCAATGCACACCTGGTGTTAGAATAAATATAAGAAAATAAATATGGCTTCTACTGGAAGGATTCATAAGAAAGAAAATATACTGGCACAGTGAGCTTATGGTAAACACCAAACAAGAACTTGTTGAAACCTTGGTGGATATTTAGATTGAGGAAATTTATAACATTATCCTTTTGAATCTATGGTAAAGTTAATATGATTTTATTATAGAGAGCCATTGCATGAAGACATCAAATTCTACTTTTGAACCAGACCATATGGTATTTTGATGATATTATCATCAAAATACCTTAAATATGTTAAAGGAAGGCTAACAGTCAAAGGAAAATTGATGGTAAATTTAACATGTCCCAGAATAATTTTTGCTAAGAATGTAGAAACTGGTGACTCCATTAGAAGCCCAGTTTTTTTGAATATACAATAGATCCCCCTATAAGACTGGTTCCTATAATTACGATTCCTATAAGACAGCGAAAAAATTATGGCAGTATCCGTACACAACGGTAAAAAAACTCCTATAATTACATAAAACGTCATCGGGCAGCCGAACTACTTTCCCGCCTAAACATCCGTAGCGTGGCGCTACGGACGTTTAGGTGGGTAAATTGAGTTTAGTTTCGTCTGTACATATAATTATATATAAATTAGGTACTGTACACATAATTATATATTAATTATATATAAATTAGGTACTGTATATATAATTATATATTAACTTATTGTAACTTTGTTATAATTAAATATATAATTTCCGCCGTCTAGCATGGCGCCACGCTACGGAGATTTTTACGCTAACTATCGTCTGTCAGTATGTAAATTAGGTACCGTAAGTCTAATACAGTACTGTAATTTTATACATTTCTNTGAAATTTTTGATGTTTTTGGTGATGTAGAGTAGGGCCCTTTCCATGGCCCATAGCTCGGCCTGATTAACGGTGCAAAAGTCTGCCAACTTGTAGTACTCTTCGTGTGCCACAGCTTTTTGGTTATTATAAATGACCATTGCCGCCCCAGTGCCACTATCGTTCTTGGCACCATCAGTGAATAGCTCCCAGTTGAACTTGGGGTGGTTGCTCTCTTCTTTCATGTTAACATGAATACTGCTCCTTTCCGCGGGGTGATTTTGGTCAGTGACACTGTTAATATAGCTGTCTATACTGTATTTGCTTATTTTTTCCTTTACCTCTTGATCCTCCTGTGGGTTTGTTCTGTTATTGATGGAAGCAAGCTGGCCGCTCTCTGTTTGTTGGCTAGGGCTTGTCCTCATTAAGTTCTGACCACACTAAACTATTAATTTTAATGTGGATCGGGGTGATGTTTGCGATAACAAGGAGGGCGTCAGTAGGCGCCGT